TATAGGTGTTATTTCTAGGTGAAGGTTTTATTTTTTGTTTTTGATACAGGCAGGCATGAGAGAGGGAAGGAGGCAGGGAGTGAGAGAGGGAGGAGAAAAGATATCAAAACGGCCGAGAGAAGGAGAGTGAAAGAGAGAGAGAGAGATGGTGACAGGTACACACGCACACAGTGAAAGAGATAAAAAAAAAAGGAGAGTGAGATCGAGCGTGTGTGTGCGTGCGCGCGAGTACCAACAGTGAGTGAAGAGAGCGAAATTGGGTAACATAAAAAATTCCAAATATCTCCAAGCAAAGGCGCTAAGCTTAAGCAATGCATCGGAATCACCAAAAGAGAGAGAAAAGTTACGTTCCTCCATCAAAAGTTACTGTCGTTCGTGTTTTGATTTTTAATTGTTTTTTTTATCAGAAATAAAAGCAAGAATTTTCCGTTTACGAAATACCCAACAAGTGCAAGCGGTTAGTAGCGTGTTGGCCCGAAGCTATAGTGAAAGAAATTCAGCAGATTTAGAGAGAGAGAAGAAAAAAAAAAGTTTGGTTTATGTCTCCATTGAAAAAAAAGGGTCAACTTCGACGAGAGGTCATGAAGCGTGAGAGGTCAAAGGTCAAGAGAGAAGAATCGAAGGGACGCTGAATATAAATAGAAAATCAAGTTGAAACCAAAAACATAAGAAAACACAAAAAAAGGTAAGAAATAAATAAACAAGGATTCCAATTTTTTTTTTTTAATTTTATTATTATATTTCCTGACTATTGAATATCAGAAATATTTGGTATGTAAGTGTGCAATTAAAGAAAAAATGAAAATAAACACATCACATGAACACAAAAGAAATACAGGGGAGAAAACACATCTCAATAACCTGTGATTTACATTACAGGTCTCAGGTCGAGAAAAAAAATAACAAAGAAATAAGAAAAATAAGAAAGTGTGAGAAAATGGGGAAAACAATGTGACATGGCAAACACAGGAATAGGACAAAATATAACAGAAAAAAATAAAGATTTATAAAGGGAAAATAAGAATAGAACAGGAACTTGATAAGAAGAAAAAAAAGACGGGTTACAGATGAAAGTTTTTTTTTTCAATCAATCATTTATTCAAACGGATTGAGGTTGAGAAAACCAAAATTTCACGATGGTACAAAGATCAAATAGAGAAGACAGGAAAGCTCGATGACTCGCACAGATATCCAATGGGTAGATTTACACTTCCCTCCGCCATCTATCGGTGGAGTAAAGAAGTGTAACAAACAATACCTGACGTTTTTATTATCAACGCCATCTATTACTGAAACACGATTAAACTGCTACTTGATTTCGGTTTGCTAACGCCATCTAATGATATAGCTAAGAAGTAGAACTACAAAGAGAAAAGGTGGTTCAAAAAATGCTAGCTACTGATGAAAGGTACAACCAACAGATGGCGTTTTTTTTTTTTTTTTACTACCGCCATCTATTGGTAAAGCACATAAGTCAGGTAAGCTTTCCTGTCTTTACGTAATCCTTGCGAATGGGGAGAAGGAAGGGAAGGGATTTCGGAATACTAACATTTAGAATATTTACGCGACATTAATAACGGTTGAGTTATCCGTGACGTTCAGGGAGAGAGAGAGAGAGAGAGAGAGAGAGAGAGAGAGAGAGAGAGAGAGAGAGAGAGAGAGAGAGAGAGAGAGAGAGAGAGAGAGAGAGAGAGAGAGAGTAAGGAAGGGTTCAAATATATATATACATATGTATATACAGAATTGTATATATACATATATGTATATATATCGAGAGAGAAAGAGAGAGAGAGAGAGGATGGGAGAGGGAGGCGGGGGGAGGGGAGGGGAGAGGAAGAAAAGAGAAATAGCGAATTTGGAGCTGACAAGAAATCTACACAGCAGCTATCATGAACACCATTGCCTTATATAATATCACGCTTAAGAATTCCTAAATCGCTTAACGTCCAGACATAGTGTTTAACATCAATGCTTCACATGTATACAAATGCATTTCGAATGAACAGACAGAGGCGTGTACATACCGAGAGACCTAAACGACACAGAGAAAAAACAAAAACAAAAAAAAAACATAAAAAAAAAATTATGTATTACAAAAATCCTAACCTTTTCTAACCGTCGCCTTAATGTCTGCGAAAACTGGCGACTTAATTGAATATTCTACGGCTATTTTATACAATGTAGTTCAGTTTTATTTACTTTATCTTCTGTCTCATTCCACTTCACTTCCATTTTGTAATATGAATGTCGAATGATTCCTATGCGTGAGCAATTATTAACTATCACATATCTTGTTGCTTGTATATATGCATGCATATATATATATATACACATATGCATATGTTATATATATATATATATATATATATATATATATATATATATATATATATATATATATATATATATATATATATTTATGTATGTATGTATGTATGCATATATACATATAAATACACGTATACACACATATGTATATATATATATATATATATATATATATATATATATATATATATATATATATATATATATATATATACATATATATATACATACATATATATATATATATATATATATATATATATATATATATATATATATATATATATATATATATATATATATATATATATATATATATACATGTGCATATCCTTCAAATGGAATTAATACGCCTAATGATTTGATTGCTAACAGCGTCTGTTCCGCGAAGCCAGCTGATCTCTCCCGACAGGCGAGGCCGCACACGACAAGGGAAGCAACATCTAATACGAACGTCTCACGGGAATCGCTTCAGTCACAGCAACACACAAAAAGCTCTTGAAACCCATATAAAAGATAACTTATGGAGTGATATTTACAATACGGCTTTTATTCACCTAACAGACTATGTACGTTTGACGCGTAATGAAGAAAGAATGAGGACTTTTCAATGTTCGCGTGGTTGTTTGAATGAACGAATGGAGAAGGAGAGAGAGAAAGAGAGAGAAGGAGAGATAAACAGATTGATAGACAGAGAGGGAGATAATAAGATAGAAAAACAGAGAGAGAGAGAGAGAGAGAGAGAGAGAGAGAGAGAGAGAGAGAGAGAGAGAGAGAGAGAGAGAGAGAGAGAGAATCATGGGAGTGCGCATGTCAGCAGATGGCCTGAGAGAGATGCTTGAGAGGGAAGGGCGTCTGCCTGGTTAGAGGAGCGGACCCACTCCTGCTGCAGTGCCGGCGGAGAGAAGGAGCAGAGGCATAAGGAGCGAGAGGAAGTAAGAGGGAAGGGCCAGGAGGGAGGGGGCGCCACCCTTGTAGTTAGAACCGCCAACAACCCCGTTGTTAGAGCCTCCCTGTGGATCAGAACCAGAGTCAGAGTCAGTCTGGGAACCAGCATGATCGGTGGGCTCGGCCTCCGGCTCGGGCTCGGCCTCGGGCTCCGCCTCGGGCTCCGCCTCCGCCTCCTCGTCCTCCTCCTCCTCATGAGCAACGTGCGGAGGGGGCTGCTGGGGGGACTCAGGGGCTGCGCTCCCGGGCCGCGCGGGGGTTGGGAGGGGCAGGTAGGCATTGCGGTCGGTTTCCTCAATCTCCTCCCCATATGCTTCGAACAGCTCGTCAAGCTGGCGGTTGTTAACCAATGGACATGAGGGACCAGCGACCAGCACGGAAAAAACAAACTTAAGCCTACACAAACGGCATAATCCTGCGGTACTCCAACATCTGGGAAGGAGGTATATCCTGAAAACATGCATCATGCAAAACACAGACAAGAACACAATGTTAGCGACAGATTTCTCGAGACTCCAACGAAGTAAACGGGAAGCGAAAGCATATACCAAAAAACGTAATGTAAAAAAACAAACAAACAAAGGAATTCAAAAAAAGGTTTTAAAAAATCATAACAAATGAATAAAGTACATAATAAAACGTAGGTGTGGGCGCATGCGCAGTGGACGGTGTGGCGGGGTGACAACTTACTTGTCCAGGCTCCCCCTCATACCACCAGCGCGGCTGTGAACAAAGAAGCCTTGTGAGACGCTGCGACCGCTCCTGCTCCGCTCTGTCTGTCAGGGACTGTCATGGCGACGGCGGAGGCAGTGCTTGACCCTGTGACACACACTTTTCTTCCTTCCCCCCTCCCCTTCCTTCTCCTCCCCACCTCTCTCTTTACATCTTCCCCACCCTTAATTCATCCCTCTTCTTCTTTCTCTTCTCTTCCCTCCCTTTTCCCCATCTTAAACTTCACCCCCATCGTTATTTAATTTTTTTTTTCATTTATTCTCTATTCTTTTAGAAGCTCCGTTTTCTTCGACGAGGTACAAAGACCCCGCTAGAGCCAGGGGAAAGTGTGGGCCCGGTGAAGCACTGCCTCCTAGGATTCGCCTCTTGTACCATCTCTCACTAAGCGCTTAAAACAACTATCGAGTGTTGTTGCACTTTACGGATCCACTAAAACTTATCAAAATGAGAGAATTATAGAAATGATTGTGAAAACTGAGTCCATAAAAAAAAGAATCATAGAGCCTAAACCGAACGAAAATTGAAATGACTGTTGACTACTTTTCGCACACACTCACGAAGAGAAAAAAAAAAAAATAATAAAGACAATGATATCAATCAAGTATGTCTTTTCATCTGTATGATGGTAATAGAAGAAAAAAAAAGTCATGCAGGTCAAGATATCATAAAGTAAAACCACATTTATTAGAAAGTGTATTTAATGATGACTCTCCCAGACGGAAATTCTTCGCTGGTCATCCATCTGCCTGAAAATTCTGTGGTGATTTGTTTGTCTTTCGTTACCAAATAAACGCCAGGCAATAATACTGTCATTTGCACAAATCTAGTTCTAATATCACGTCTCTTCGATATGGAATGAACTCACTGTTTCACTTTCAACTCACACAGTATTTAAGCCTCGTGTTTTTGGTAGGAGATGAGTAGAATCTAGACCAGTGGTTCTTAACTTTTTTTTCTTACGTATTATAACACCCTCCAGGGCACTTCCTTAA